AGAAAAAGTTGTATGTGTGGAGGGTCATAAATTGGGCAGTCGTAAAGTGGGGCCCTCCTGTATGTTACCAAAATAGTATATAATTGGACTGGGACTGTATATGGGATTTACAATCATTTGGTGAGAAATGGACTGCAGCTTAAATTTATTATTATAATCACTGGTGTTAATGGCTTACTTGATTGCAACAAAAAGCCATATAGGGTAAGTTTTGGGGAACAAGCATGTGGGGGACTTATAGACACTGACTGGGCAAGGCAAATTAGGTATACATGGGAACACAGATGGGGTTTGGCATGGGGGGGACACAGCAAGGAATCTCTCCACCAAGCCTATTAACCAACAGAAGTACCCACTTTCCTGGGTCATGTCATGCCTGAGGATTTTGTAGTATTTTCACTAGGGGCAGCCACTCCATGAGGTAGTGGGAGTGTTCCAGATGCTCCTGGAAATCTTAAAAGGCCTCCCCCTATAGAGGCAGGGATGGCTTTTGCCTGAGTGAGTACCACACAACACTAGTATAGTTCCTAAAGGGACATGTGGCAGGTGAGACCTGGTTGGGAGAAGCAGTGAGGGGCTCCTACTGCATGGGACATTCAAAGGTAAGGAATCCAAAAGGGGATGACATCATAGAGCTCATCCTGCCCACACAATACACATTTGCATGCTATTCTCATCAAGTACAAGGAAATGCACATTTCATTCCCACCCACTTTCCCCTGAGGTGCAAAGCGAGGATGAATGGTTCAGTCACAGAGATCCCCTTGTGACTGTCACCTGTGTGCTGATCATATCACTGAGCCCCCTACTTGCTCCCTGGGGTGCCTGACACCCTGAACTGTTGGGCCAGAAGCTCTGGTCTCCGTTAGCAAAGGCACAGAGTTGGGGTAACAGTCCTCCAATAGAGTAACACAGATGCTGAATCAGCTCAAGTTTGGGATGATGCAGTTACAGGGACTTGACAACACCCAGGGGTCTAGCCCTCAAAAGGGACCAAACCTCCAAATAAATTCATCATACTCTGTATGAAAGTTTTACACAGAGCAAGATTATAAATATGTTCACCCCATTATCAATGAGAGATGCACAGCTGTCACTTCCCCTCCCCAGATAACAATTATTTACATTGATAAACAAAGGTGCTTTTATTAAGTATAAAAAGAAGAATTTAAGTGGTCGCAAGTGAAAACAGACCGATCAAAGTAAGTTACTAAGCTACAATAAAACACTCCTGCAAAGCCACACACACATTAAGAGAGATTGTTACACACACATTAAGAGAGATATGTCTCACCCTAATTTTTATTCCAGGTAAAAACCTTCAAGTCAGAGCTGATCTTTTCTCTGGACTGATTCTAACAACTTCTTGTGTATTTAGAGTTCTTTGTTTTCAGGTTTCTTCATGTGTTGCCTCTTAGGATGGTGGAGGCAGTTTTTCAAAAGCTGCTAAAGATGGTTCTTGATTGCTTCCCAACCCTTAAAGCAGTGGTTCTCAAACTGCAGTCTGCAGACCACTAATGGTCCACAGCTGCCTTCCAGGTGATCCACGACTCCCATCCCTTTCTCTCATTGCAGCAGGGAGCCCGCTTTGGTGCTCCAGACTTGCCTCCCCACCCCACCCCACCCCAAGGTTGGAGCACCAGCGGTGGCTTCCCAGAAAAATAAAACCATTTACTTATTGTTGTTTTAAGCACTGGGCCATTAAGTCCCTTAAGTACCACTAATGGCTCTCACTAGAAATTTTAGATTAAGAAGCAAGTTTACACTTCAGATTTCTAACTTCACACAAAAGAATGATACACACACACACGGAAATACACATTCAGGGGAACACATGCTCTTGAATGACAAGTCACTGTATCTATGTTGCACAAAGCACATTCAATTTATGCATATTCCTATTCAAAAACATATTTTCATAAAAATATCGGGGTGAAGTGTCACAGTGGGAGCTCAGCTACAATGGTGGGAGCTCAGTGAGGTTCTCTGCTACAATGGTAATGGAATATTTGCATATTGAAACTGATTCAAACCCGATCGTAGGCCAATAACACCATCACAGGGTCCTGCTCTTCATATTACTCCACAGAGCACTGACACCTTGTTTGGGGGAAGAGACTCAGGCCCAGCTCCTGCAAATTGTTCTGCTCTGGACAGTCCCATTGAAGTCAGCACTAGGGTGCGGTTTGCAGGGACTATAGCAACCCCCAAAATTATCGTAGCAACCCTATAGCCATGCAATGGTAGCTTCTACTTTCCAGCTGACTAGCTCTGAAGGCAAAGCAAAGAGAGTGTCAGCTTCTCACTGGGTGACCAGCTGCAGCAACAGCAAAGGATGATCAGGTGGGTGATTGGGATACCTGAGAGCAGCCCCCTTCCCATGTCCTTGCCCTTTGGGATGTGCCACCCAAGGCAGATGGATGGTCTGAAGCTCCCACACTCTGGCCTGGGCTCCTGGGCAATGCCCACCATTGTCACTGCTCCCCAAGGACTCTGCCAGCTCCAGCTGGGTCCCCCTGCCTGGACAGCTTTTATCCACTGTGATTAACCAGTGCCTAGCACAGCCTGACTCCCTCTTCCAGCCTGTGACTTGGCCAGGTGTGGGAAGAGGGGGACAGAGAGGGGGCAGCGGGCCATAGAGAAGGGAAGGACCTCATGGTGAAGTGGGCACAGCCTCCCAGTTTTCTATCTGGCCCACCTCAGCCCCTTTTCCTCCAACCAGGAAGAGGCTGGTGCCATTCTTGAGTCAGTGAGACTACTCATGTAAGCAGATTGACAAGTAGACTCCAGTGTTTGCAGGTTTGGAGCCTTATTTAGGAATCATCATGGATTTGTTTATTTAACAATGTTCACGGAGGTCATACAGCTGAAAGGGTTAGTTTACCAATAGCTGTTTTTCAGTGTATCCTGTACAGATGAACTCCGCTACCCCCTGAAGTTTCAGAGCAGGGACAGTGACCTCTAGTGGCCAGCAGAGGCTGTCCCAAGTTACTTACAGTAGAGATCCCATTAAACAGCCCAATAACCCTTCTGGAATTTCTATTTCATACACATCTGTGCACAGAGACAGGCAGAGAGACTCTTCACAGCCATCACGTTGATCAGGGTTTATTCCTTGCTGCATAACTTATTCCCATGTTCATGTAGGTGGGTAGGAAACAATCATTTTCAGCAATGCCAACCCCAAAGCTGTGTCTAGATTGGCCAGTTTTTCCAGAAAATCAGCCTCTTTTCTGGAAAAACTTGCCAGCTGTCTACACTGGCCGCTTGAATTTCTTCAAGAACACTGACTTCCTACTGTCTGAAATCAGTGCTTCTTGCGGAAATCCTATGCTGCTCCTGTTTGGGCAAAAGTCCCTTTTGTGCAAAGCTTTTGCACAAAAGGGCCAGTGTAGACAGCTCAGCTTTGTTTTCCGCAAAAAAGCCCCGATCGCGAAAATGGCGACAGGGCTTTTTGCACAAAAGTGTGTCTAGATTGGCACAGACCCTTTTCTGCAAAAAGTGCTTTTGCGGAAAAGCATCCGTGCCAATCTAGATGCTCTGTTCCAAAAATGCTTTTAACAGAAAACTTTTCCGTTAAAAGCATTTCCAGAAAATCATGCCAGTCTAGACGTAGCCCAAGTGTTCAGAAATCAGGATTCAGGCCTCAAATATAATGAGATTGGCTTAACAGTCTTGAGAGGTTTTTTTAAATCACTTTGGTTTCTTTTTGTTTTCTGCTTTGCCCTCTGGTTCTTGAGCCTTGAGGTTAAACTTGATTCATTATTTGAACCTTCTTTGTGCAACTTCCTTTTTTAAACTGAAAGCTGAGTTTCTCATGTAACTATTTACCAAATATTGTGTATGTCTACACTAGAAAGCTAAATTGACCCCATGTTAGGTCACTTACAGGCCACACAGTAATTATTGTGATTGTTCATTTCCCAACTGCCCTCTTCCCCTGCCCGCCCCGTCTGCCTGCGGTGTGCATCCTCAACAGGAGCTCTTAAGAAAGGCAGTGCTAGGGCCTGAGAGCCTGGGATCTCAGCTCCCCCTGCTTGGAGCCTAGCTGTTCTCCTCCCCAGCTCCCCGTTCTCCACCACCGGAAGGACGGCTGCCTACTCCCTGGCTCCTGAAACGGAGCTCCACACACAGAATCCAGGTGGCTCCTGGGAGTCCAAACATAGCCCAACTGACAGGGAAAGCAGGCAGGTGCAGCCTGGCTGTAAGCAAGGATCCTGGAGGCAACTGGACTCTAGCTGGAGCTCCCGCATCCCCAGCTTTCTTGTCAATGTCACAGCTTCACAACTTTAGGATGGAGCCATGAAACTGACGAGGATTCCCCAGAGCTGATATAAGTAAGGCAGTGTTTACACCAGGGATATGAACAATTAGTCAACCTCTATAAGAAAGAGACAGTAAGTGAGGGGAAAGAGGAGGGGGTGCTTCACATGGAGCCCAGGGTCTGCCAGCTGGGAGTTGGCTCTGGGCTGCATGTGCTGTTTTAAAGTGGCAGTGCTGTGTGGAGACCAGGGTCAGCTGGGGACTCCACTGCTTGAGTTCCCTGCTGGCCCCATGCTCCCTGCAGTGTTTTTTCATCCTTATTGACTAGTCAAATAGTTGATGCAAATTGCATTGATTATTTGGTTAGCTAATTAATCCAAATTTAACATCCCTAGTCTACACGGACACTGTCACCCTACCTACACTGACAGAAGCCCTATCCCACTAGTAGAGGTGGGGTTATGTTGGTTAGTACA